GTTTTTCTGCTCTGCCTAAATGGTGAATTTATTACTTTGATGGGAGGGAAAATTATCAAAATACAGAAGGCATTCTCACCCTGCATGGCGGGAAAGTGTTTTAAACTTTTCTGCCGCTTGCCCCTCCTCAAGGGGGATCTCTCTTGAAACAAGGTGAAAACTAATAAAAATATTTTCTGTTTCTCTCTTTGTTTTTTCTTGCGCTTTTTAGGCCCAGCAAAGAAGAAGGTAAATTACACTACGTATACTTTTACCTGGTATGCTTTCGTTGCGCCTTTTGAATCCTTTGGAATTCCAATGGAAATTATGAAGAAAAGATGAGGAATTGTTGGGGATTTGGCTCCCCTGCTGGTTTTGTTTATTCCTCTTTTGGTGTTGGATGTTGTTCGGCTTCCTCACCCTTTTTTTTTGGGGGCGATTAATGGGGTATGTGGCGGATAGCCGCTGTTCCTTTCCCTCAGCGGGATTTCAAAAGGGCGATGCCATGATAATTTCAACATGAATTGTTTGAAGAGCGTGGGGAGTGGACCCCATTCCCCTTCGCGGTGTCGCTCTTTATTGTTGGGCGTGGTGTGCGGGACGGTGACCCGGCAGATCAGACCCCCAGCAAAAAATAAAAAAAAAAAGAAACGGGGGAAAAACCAAAACAATACGAAAAGCGTGGGGTTTGGGAATTGGGGGTTGTGAAATAAATGAAAATAAACACACAAAGAAAACACAAAACGGACACGCACTTCGACATTCCCCAGCGGCAAAGGAACTTCCCAACGACACGCGTGATGGGCAGCGGGCTTTCCCACGGGCGCGGCTCCGGGGAACAAGAGTGGCAGAGGGGAATTGTTTTCTGTTAAGGGTGATGTGGATTTTGGTGGAGAAAATATATGGAGGGATGCAATTATTGTAATTTATTTGTTTTATATATAAACTCTAAAAGGGCAAGCGGATATGATCGCATTTGGTTTACTGCAGCGCTAATGTCTATCTCTTGATCTCATGTTTTTTCTGCATTTCTATACAAACTGATAGTCTAAGTGTTTGTTTCGGCTGTTTCTCGTTTTTGATTCAATAGAGATCGTTCTTTTCGCGCCCACCCACCGCATCCGTGTAGATTTTTTATTTTTATTTTATTTTTTATTTTTCCATCCAGTGAACCGGCATGCGCTGCTGGAGTATCCCGAAGCCGTGGGCGCAGTCTTTACCGCGTTGTCTTCCGGCCTCCGATCATGAGACTGTCCTTCACCTCATACAAATGAGCTGAAACAGCAGCAGCGTTCTTCCAATGCCTTTTTTGTATTC